GGCCCTTCAATGGAACATGAAATAAAAAACAATATTCTTGAGATCCAGCTTCCTCACCATGTGGAAAATCCTATTTTAGGTGAGACCATGGATTTTGAGGAGGTCAATGTCAATGACAAAAGGATGGTTGAGTTTAAGATATCTATATTAATTCCTCCATCTTCATATTTGATTTGTTTTTTAAGGTATTTTCACAATCATTCATACTTTTAGAGGCGAAAGAGAAGGAGGTAAAAGAATGATGTGGATTCCATGTGATCTCATTTTAGCCTTCTTCAATTAGGGATGACTTTTCTCGAACCGCAAGAGATTAAGTGGCAGAACCATAACATGACGCCAAGGATTCCTGACTAGGCACGGGATGGACAAATTTGGATTTTTTCATGGATTTTAATTAAGATTATTAAAGGATAAATTTGGGGGATTTTAAGGATTAATTTTGCACTCCTCTACTTCATGTTACTAGGGTTAAATAACTTATTATCATGTTTTAATTATTTATTTTAGTTGTTATTTCTTATTTTATTGGTATTTTTTAAGTTAATAACGGGTGGCTAGAATTCAATAGAATGAATGGAAGGGATTCCGTAAACGCAATCTAGGGTTTTGAGTTACCTAAATTCTTATATTTAAGGGGGAGGAGGTCTCTGTCTCTGTCTATGGCCATGGTTATCTTGAGAAGAAAAAAAATTGTTTTTGGTCTTGGGAATGGACTCCCTTGCCGATCCTGTATAATTTGCCATCTTTTATTTTTGTACTTTTTTATTATTTATTTCTTTCCATCATGCATGCATCAATATGAGAGCAAGTTTCGGATGTCTCTAAAAGCGACAATCCACGAAGGTGTTGCTCAATTAACTCGAGCAACTTGAGCTTTAGTGGATTGATTGGAGTGTGAGAGCAGTTGGAGAGCTTCAGCATGTCGCTGGAAATCAAGGCAACAATAGTTAAGGAATTGAATTTCATATCATTCTAGCGAACCTGTAGTGAAGAGTTCAAGGATGAAACCCTTTAATAAAACATTCACAAAACAAACGATATTCTTGAGATCCAGCTTCCTCACCATCATCTGGAAAATCCTGTTTCAGGCAAGACCTTGGATTTTGAAGACGATAATGTCAAGGACAAACCATATATGACGAAAGGATGATTGAGTATAAAATATTTGTATCAATTCTCCGTCTCCATATTTTGATCCATTTTTTTAGGTATCTTCACAATCATTCCTACTTTTAGAGGCGAAAGAGAAGAAAGCAAAAGAATGATATGGATTTGATGCGATTTCAGTTTAGCCCTATTAAAAAATCGATGATGAGTTTCTCAACCTGAGGAGATTAACGCAAGCAAGAGGTGGACAAATTTGGGGTTTTATTGGATTTTAATTGAGAGAATTTAAGGATATATTATGGAGATTTAAAAGTTTTTTTTTTGTAGTATGCTACTTTAGGTTAATATGATTAAGTTTTTATTATGTTTTATTATTCTTTTTATTTCAATTTTTATTTCTTATTATATTAAAGGCAAAGTAAGTTATTTATTTTTAAGTTAATACTGAGTGGCTAGGATTAAATAGCATGCATGACCGGGATTTTTTAAGAGCTTTCTGGGAATTTAATTATCTTGAGAAAAAAGAATTTGTTTTTAGGTATCGTGAAGAGATATTTGAGGTGAATTCCCTCACAAACTTCTCATCTTTTGTATTTTTATCTTCTATGTCGTGATTATTTATTTCTTTCCCATCATCCTTCCATCAACTCCATTTTCATATATTTCTTAACAAGAAATAAAGGATATAAAAGTTTGTAAAATCCAAAGGTGAAGAAATAAATGATATAAAAGTTTGTAAAATCCAAAGGTTAAGAAATAAATGATATAAAAGTTTGTAAAATCCATAGGAGGAGGAGCAAAAGCCAGTCAATATTAGTAGCTGGTTTGGAAAGTTCGTATGTCGTATTTCTTTACAAATTACCTCAACTTGGGTGCAGTTTCTTTAAGGCCTAGGTACCATCAAAAAAGAGTAAACTGAAAAATCCCATCAATAAATTCTAAAATCTATTTTCACCACTAATTATAAATTTTGTAGCTTAAAACTTTATATAGATATACCATTTTTATCGCTTGAAATCCTTTTTTTTTTCATATTCAATGGTCAAAGGTCGAGATGATCAATTTGACAATATTTGGAACTGCAATTTTTCATGAGGTTTGAGATGTGATTTTACTTTTTTTCACAAGGCCAAGACCATATTCTAACCTTTTCCTTACAAATGCAGTAATTCCATAAATGAAAAACACTATCAATCTGTACATAACCGTGCATCAATATATGACCGTGCATCTGATGTGCTGCTTCCTACCTTAAAAGCGATATGAAGTAGCGGTGAGTGAATCGAACTACAAAGGATCCGGAATCATAGAGGTAATGTTTCCTCATTACCTTATGTTACTCAACTACGGCATTCTAATGGTTATAATGATTGGAAAATCGCCGATCTAACTCAATCCTAGCCCGAGCTTAGGGGTGGGAAACGGGTTGGGTCACTCTTAGACCAGTCAATCCAACCAAGTCTAGGTCCAAGTTTGGATCCACAAAACGGACCCAATGGATTGGGTCCGGGTCCACTCGACCGAGACCAAGTCGGGTCAGTTCTAGGTTCAGATCCAGCTTGAATCCTATCAGATCGAGGTCAACCCTACCCCACCCAAACCAGAATTTATGTGTTTTTGGGTACATATAAAATATACAATAACTATGTATCATACAACAGATAATGTTTTTTATATTTCTTTTATTTCTAGACTAGGAACCAACCCGGCCCGATGAGTTGGGTCTAGACCCAACACAGGTATGGGTTGGATCTGTGTTTAACCAATACCTAGTCGGATCTATCAAAATCCAAGTTGACCAAAATCCGACACAACTCAATCCCAGCACCACCTGAGTCATCCCAAATTGGAAGACTAGGCAATTCTAGAGAACAAAATATGCTAGCCCAAAATATAGAAATATTAAAAGGAAACTTGTTTATGCGAGCTAGACTGCATTTTTACAATATGTTGTCCAAAGGTATAAAGCATCCATCTTAAAGATGGATGCATGGTCCATCTAAAAATAATTGTAACTAACAGTCCAAATATTTTCTTACTATAATTATTATTTTTAGTTTTCAATTTTATTTTTTCATATTCAAGATCTCCATGTTAAAGATTATATGCTCTCTAATCGTTAGGATCAACGTATATTTAAAAAATATATTTATTGCCGAGCCCGCATTTCTACAATATGCAGGCTTGCCGCATAAAAACTGTTTGCATGTTAAAAAATATATACAATAAGATCATTTACTTCCGATATAAAAAAGTCACAATTATTATTGACTGTTACACATGAAATCAGATGGAGATGTGACATTGATTGAATCCTAAGTACAAAATGAAATTCCTCGACGGTTCGAACACACTTCAATATATCGAATCTCACAACCAATGGCCTATAGAGATTGTAAACTCTTTGTACGGCCATATTATATACAATCTCTGCAAATATTTTTTTGGAAAAATTACATGTATATCCTTTATAGTTTCTGTTATTACGACTCTATCGAATAGTTTCTGTTATTACCATCGTGTCCATTTTTTCATGTAAAAATAGAAATTAAAAAAAAAACCACTTTACCCTTTTTTAGTGGTTCAACAACCGAATTCAAAGTATTTTCAATTGTTCAACAACTGAAAATAGACCAATGTCCCTTCTTGAATAACAAAAACTTTAAAATTTTTTATTGTTGAAGAACCCATTCTTCAATAACCGAAAAATATTTTCTCGCACTTGTGGCGTATTTTCTGTACCTCTCTGAAGTCATAGTTATCCAATAAAATCAAAAGGGAACAACTAGTTTGAATCCCTAAATTTAAGAGAAATCTTAGGGATTATGAAATTAGAAAAAATCTTATGGCGTATGAAGTCATAACTATTCGATAAAATCAAGGGGAACAACTAGTTGTCCCGAAATTTAAGAGAAATCTCAGAGATTATGAATTTACCCAAGAAAAAAAAAAAAAAGCTCAATAAGAAGAAGAGTTTTAAAAAAAAAACTTTTTTTACCCATGTAATGTAGAGAGAGAGGTAGAAGAGGATACCCAAACCCACAAAAGAAAAAATTTCAATTATTGAATAGCCGAAAATTTTAAATTTTCGGTTATTCAAAACAAACCGAAATTCACCCGATTATTCAATACTTCAAATTTAGTTGTTCAACAACCGAAAAAAGATAAAATAATCTTTTTTTTTAATTTCTATTTTGACATGAAAAACAAACACAATGATAATAACAAAAACTATTCTATAGAACCGTAATAACAAAAACTGTAGCAAATATGTATGTAATTTTTCTTTTTTTTTTCAATTTCATTGTTTAAAGTGCCTCTATCTGACTCTGACTAACCCGACTACGGGCCTATGACTGAACATCAAGACCCCAATGAGCCCCTTCCCGAGTTTGATCACAACAAAATTGGACTTCAATCATCTACAGTTAAATTTCTAAATTTATATTTTTGGAGCGGGCCTTATCATTTCAAAAGACAATATAACACAATTACTATTCCAAGGCTCCAAAATTTAATCCAAGACATAGTGAAACATTATTATCATTACTTTTTTCCAATTAATCGGAATCGGCTACACAAATCTTGGTCTGTCATTCTACCCTATTAACGACACATTATTGAATAAAAGACAAAAAAAAACAAAAAACTGGGAAAATCTAAACAAGGAAATCATTATTTTAGATCCATTTCAAATGCATAAAAATTGACACATGTTCTTTAAAACAAAAACAAAACAAAAAAAAGGTACACGTTCTTTAAAAAGAAAAAGACTTCACGGTGCATATGTACACGTTGGACCCACTGGACCACACCATATATGCTCACACAAAATGATCTACCCAGATCCTGTCCTCAAATCATACCTAAGATGATCACAGAGGACTTGGAAAGACATAAACTACCACTAAAATTCAACTAGTAAATATTCCATTGATGTAATAATTTACAAATACAAAAAGAAAAACTAGAAAATAAGATGAAAAGCACAATGCTTGATATTACAACCACCCCACTCAAATCCCTCAACAATATAAAACAAACAGAACAATACTTACAAACTGCAAAATCACACACAATCATACACATCTCTCTCTCTCTCTCTCTCTCTCTCTCTCTAGGGTTCAATTTTCAGAAGGGAATTGAGGGAGGTACTGTTAAACCTCTGAGCAAGGCCCCTGATCACGAGGACAATGACATCACGCATGTGTCGTGTCTGAACCATGAGATCCACCTCGTTCTCACTATCCACCACAATCTTCAATCGATGTTGATCATTACGAAATACCTCCACCTGCCCACCCTCATATTTTTCATAATGTAATATATATACACTTCTATTATCCTACAAGTTCATCATACCAGTTTATATTTCCTATCTCTGTCCAAATAGAGGTTTTCATAGAATTAATTGGAATAAAGCTTCGATGATATATATATTATGGCGTGTGTGTATGCATAATAATCTCTCGGGGGAACATACACTGCACACCTTAAGTGAAAGAGCTACTTGGGAGTTTTTTCTCGATCCAAAGTTTTGAGGTCCACTAAAGTAAATCACTAGATGATTATTTTAAAAAAAAAAAAAAAGTTGAGTACTACACTTGGATCTCACCCTCCAAGAATTGGACGATCCCACCATTCAATCTTGGGAAGTTACTTTTTTTCAAGCACATAAAGAGTGCAATTTCAAATTTTTTGCTTTTGAGGTTAGTCATTAGGTTGAAGAGGTTACGTCCCCGAAATGGATCCCTGAGAAATACTCCTAGCTTGAGTTTCAACTGAGGGAGTAAATGGACAGGATTCTCCTATTGGAACATAGAATCTTTTGCATATATAAATATAAGGCGTTGATCTTGTACCGTTTACATATAAGGTATTGAAGTAAGGCGCCCATTTAAAATCTATAAAAAAAAAGTGCCCCGAAGTTGGAAAATGCTAATATTGGTCATCTCAATCACAATATATATGGATTATAAGGGAAGGAAAAAGATTTTAAGTTCTAAAAATAATACATCTCGTAACAAGTCATATGGACAGTCTATTTTCAAGATTTCAATTATTTATGGATCTGCGCGATATGCACCATTTTTTAAATTTCAAATTTTATAATCAAGGGTGAAAATGGATTTTCAAGCTATCATAAAGTTTCGACACCGAAACTACATCTTCCAGAGCAATTTAGAGGTGCACCTCGCTTTTATAATATAAGGTGAGCACCTTAGATAGACCGCACAATATATATGTAAATAATCAGGGGGTGAAAATAGATTTTCAAGTTATCATAAAGTTCTTGATACTAAAACTACATCTTCCAGCAAAATTTAGAGGTGCACCTTACTTCTATAGTATAAGGTGGGCACCTTATATAAAACTCACCGTATGTGTGCATATATATATATATATATAGGAAAAGTCGTCCCAATAGGCAAAAATGAGCAGTGATTTCGCCTATGCTCATCACCATTCAAAGTTCATCGCATAGTCATGATTGCCCAGTAGAGTTTCAATTTTCATTTTCTTTTTTCAATGAATCAGAATGATATAAAAATTGAAACGTGTGTACATCTTAGTAAAGTGCACCTAATAAAAATATGAAAAAAAATATAAATTAACCAAAATACCCCCATAAATTTTCAAGGGTATTTTGGTCAATTTATATTTTACAAATTATTTTTTTGATATTTGTAGTAGATTCTCCTATTTTTGATAAATACACACTCCAAATTTCATATCATATATATATAGGGAAAAATCTATATAAAGCAGAGGCTCTAAACAATCAAATTCGAGCCTACCTCAAAACTTTCACTAGAAGAGGTTGTTTTGATGCCCAAATATCCTCAAATTCATCATCTAGACATCAAGATGCATGGACATGAGAAAAAAATGGATTTCAAGTTTTGAAAATAGTGTATTTTGTAACGCATTTTTGGACCATCAATTTTAAAGATTTTTCAAGTTTTCATAGATATCTCAATCTACACTATTTTGGAAGCTTTAAACTTTATAAATAACTATGAAAATATATTTTAAGGCTATAACAAAAATTCAGTATTGAAACTACATTCCTCGACACTATTTGAAGGTAGGCTCTAATTTATACAAACCGCACCCATATATATATAAAGAGATATATATATAAGGAGAGAGAGAGAGAGAGAGAGAGAAAGAGAGAGAGGGGCTCACATGAAAGGGAGGTGCATATGTTCCACGAATCTCTGTTGCCGGAAAGGATGTCTTCGAACCAGGCTTGACAACCTTGACACGCTTCCTATTAACTTCTAAGAGTCTCCTTTCAAGACCCCCGATGACTCCTTGTTGAACTTGAGTCTGTCAAAGCATAGAATCTAAGTATAACCAAACCCAAAGACAAAGCAGCAGTTATGGAACATTACTCTTCCTCGACTAGGGATAATTAACATACACCTGGGGGCTATATGTGTTACACCATAGTTGTATCCACTATCTTTTCCAGTGATGGATGGTGAAGATAATGACTCTGGGTACAGTTGATTACAACTGTCCATCAGGATGTGGTGATACCATATACCACAGGTGCATGGTATGCTTTCCCTTCAGAAGTTTTACTACATTCTAAACCCGGGTAAAGGCAGAAGGCCAAATTTTAGAGTAAGAAGCCAAGCGCTCAGATCACATTTCTAGACAAAGGAGAAGCTTTTACCTTTGGAGAACGATCCCTATCGCGCAAAGCCTGCTTTCAAAAACACACATTAGGTTACACAGTAAAACTCAAACGTAAAGGGAAAAAACAATAAAATGAATAAAGAAAATAAATGGAATGGAGACAAAAAAGAACACAGTAGGTTTCAAAGATCTAGGTAAATGTTTTGGTGATCACCTCAAACTTCACTGCTCCAAGCTCCAGCTTTTGCTTCACTTCTTTGAAGACATCAGGCTCTGCAAAAGCACATGTTCCCAACTCAAGCAATGAAAAAAAAAAATAGAGAATACTTAAAAATATTTCCATGTGTGAAGCTTGTCAAACACCCTTTTCCCTCCATTCCCCCCATTGAGATTTTAGTCGTTCTCCAAAGCCAAATATGAAAATAACAACAAACAAAAATAAAAAACAGATTTGGGCTGACATGTGCAATGCCCCATTGAGGCTAGAAAAGAAAAACTCAAGGCAACAAAGAGTTCATCTTTTGTTCTATACAAAATTCTTGTGACCAGTGTACGAAAACATGGACTCTGGTCAGAACTCGAAAAGGTCCCAATCCTGAGTCATCCTTGACAGACTCAGCAGGCTCTGTCAAAGGCTTGGCCAAAGTATAGCCAAAGAAATTATAAAATAATGGGAACTGGACAAACTCTGCCAGTTACCATGTGCAAGGTTCCGGGCTTGGCACCCATGACTTGGGCAAGTCCAAGTGGACTTGGCCAAGTTCTCTGACACTGGTGGTCACAAAACCCAAATTCGCCTATAAAAATTATTTGATGCAGATGCAGGTCAATTTATGTTCAAAAACTTCAGACAAAGGGAAATAATTTAAACCACTGAACTATCAAAATGCAAGGGTCCACGGGACCATCATGTCCACAATGATAGAGAGTGCGATCCAACCATTGATATTCTGCAGGGTCCCTCCATCTTCACCATCCATTCCATAAACAAATAAAGTAACATAAAAACTCGATGACTCAATGCATAATATAAAACTTTACCAACTGTAATGGGCTCAGTTGAGGCTGAAACCGGCTGGCCTTCAACTCCATCCTCTCTTACAGGAGTATAAACAGCAACAAGCCTATACCCAACGTCATCCACATTAGCCTCATACATCCTGCTCACTTCACCTGTACGAAGCAAAATTCCATAAATGAATTGTTTTCCAATTTTACTTAACAATCATCCAAGAATTTCACTTATATAAGAAACATGAAGCAGAAAGAGCACAATCCCAATAAGCTCTACATAAAAAAAAAAACAAAAGGTATCCCAAATGAAAGAACATCGGATTAAAAAAGAATATATTGGTACATTCCAGACATAAGCGAACAAAAAAACCCAGCTCTTCAAGGATGCCCTCAGCGTAGAGGATCATGTACTAGGGTGTATGTGCAACTTGTTCAGATCATGAGCTAGAACAAACTAGATGATTTTTCTAGTCGCAATGAATAGAACGGAAGAATTTCATTCACTATCTAAAAAGATCTATCATATACCCTTATTGCATATGGATTTTATGGTTTCAATTGGTGCAAATCCAATCAGCTCGATGTGAGAAGAAAAGCAATTCCTTATCGATAGCAAACGGTTATCAATAAAGCGGGGGAACTAATATTCAAACAAGCAGAAAGATCATGCTCTTAACCATTGCAAAAGTGAACTAACAAGGTCAAACTTCATAATTAAATGTCATCACTGTATGTGTAGATTTTATTGTGAAAAGACCTATTATTGGATAGTTGATGGCTAAAGCTGAACAGTTTGAATTGTACGAGTTGAGGGAGGCTCCGATACCCCTTACTCTTCTGAAACGGTATTTCCTCTAAGTATGGTAAGAACCTTAAACTTTCCCTTAACCCTTCCCAAGCCTGGGTAAAAGGAATGGGTTGTTTTAAGTAGGCAGCCAACATAAAACTTTATTAATACTTATCATGAATGCAGAATGGCATCACTAAGGGTATGGCCCTTTATGGAGCAAAATGACGGATCGGGATTTATGTAGCTGACCCCAATTAGTTGGGAAAAGGCTTTGATGATCATGATGATGATGAACACAAACTCCCCCCAGCTTCTTCTTCTTCTTCTTCTTTTTTCAGCATTTTTTTGGAAAATTAAACATGCTCAAATGCAACTGAGTTTACCAGAAAAAAGAGTTAAAGATTGACTAAAAATTGTAAGCTCCTAGGAACAATCACAACTTTGATGTATATATAATGCAACGAATTCTTTGCTTTTTTTTTGTATCACTACAAGTTTTGAAAAAGTTTCCCATTTTAAATTTTTCTTCATATTTCCGTTAGAGAGAAACATAATTTAACTCTTGTCAAAATTGAAGAAAAAGCTAGGGGGGCCTGGTTATTCAATATGAGAGAGAGATGGACTGTGATAAAAGGCATGGGCATAAGAATTCCGGGAGGAGAACTGAAGTTGGAACTTGGAAGCTCGTCGAGAATAAGACAAAGGCTGAGATGCCATGGCCAATCCCAAGCTGCTCATGCAGGTCCCAAGCCAGGATAAAAGAGGAGGGTTGTATTCAATAGGATAGCCAGCATAAAACTTTGCCACAACTTTTCATAAATCTTTGAACCTATGAAGGCAGAACACAATTCGTGTAGTTGACTCCAAATAGTTGGGATAAAGCTCAAATGATAATGATGATGATAAAAAAACCATAATTTGAAAAGAGCATCGCAGAAAAACCATGAAGATCTTGAAATCCCATAAAGAAATTACATACCCATGAATTCCAAAGAACAAAATTCAAAATGATGCCTTGGAGTTAGAAGACTTCAGTGACAACCATTAAAAGATCACCATTCCTTATTTTGAGAATACCTGGAATAGATATAAGATCTGGACTTCCAACCATGGATCTCAGCCACTGGATTCTACTTTTCCCTTCTTTACCCCCACTGTAAATACCACGAACAGCATATAGATTCGTATGGAAGCCCCTCCCTTCAATCTCGAGCTTATCTATTTTCGGAATACCTGCCGAGTTGAACAACCCTAGGATCAGGTTCCAATATACATGGTGGCATATATAAATATCACATTAATTCATACAAATCCATATCCAATGTATTGTTTACTTTTGACTTATCTCAAAAAAAATTCATTTTTGCAACTTGTACCACATGTGTCTGTGTGTGAGAGAAGAGAGGAAACAAATGATCTTTATATGCCCGCATTTATAATCTAAGGATAAAATCTCTCTTATACTTAACCACTATGTCAAGTACATTGGTTCAAAAATAGGAGAGCACTTAGATAAACCTAAATTATTAAGCCTCTACAGTGTCATACAAAATTTGAAAGAAAACACAATAACTAAGAATATGGACGTGGATACCTGGTGTAACAGGACCAGTGACAGCTGATGCAGGTTCACTGGACCTTCCAAAGACATCTGTCACTATACATTCACACCTCAGGGAGCGATTAATGTCCTCTAACCGAACTTTATATGAGCACGATCTCTGTGAAGGTAATTGCTCAAACGACTGGCTATCACCCATTTCAGAGGAATAGGACCTGTATTTGATGACCCTTGACATTATTCGTCAGCACTATAAAATACGATTGGAAACAAAGGATGAAAAGAATTTGGTCCTAAGTCAAACAAATAAAATAAGTGAAAACTACCATTGATATTTTACTTCTTTCTTGTACTTGTCCCAGACATGTTGCTGAGCTTCACTGTCTGGAATGACTTCTATGGCAGTTAGCACTTCTCCTTCTACGGCTTTTCCATTGAAAATAAGTTTTTGAATTTGCGGAAGTTCTGCAAGTGAATGTAGACTTCGTTAATAGCAGACATAAAAGACATCGTTAAAAAAAAAAATGGAAATGCTATATGAAGCCTGGAGCATAGAATTGAGGAGTCCAAAGATAGAGGAACCATGTTATCCACCAACAAAAACAAAAGAAATGTTAGAGAGAAGAGAACTCTAGAAATGGAAAAAAAAGAACTCAAGAATCCAATTTCTAGAACAAGTTATACACAAACCAATATTAAATAAATAAATAAATAACAAAGGCAATGTTCAAGGCTCAACCTAACCGTATGCAGCTTCATGTGCAGTGCACCCAACATGGGAAAAAGCTTTAAAGCATTCACGTGAAGAGATTCAAAGAGGGAAAAACAGACTAAGTTTTAGTCGTACAGAATGAAGAATAGAGATAGCATCTGGATATTGAAGAGGTCACAAACAACCTAAAAGCCAATTACAACAAGAGAAATTAAAAAAAAAAACAAATCAAAAAGGTGATCTTCAGATGAATGAACAATCAGAACAACATTAGAACCATAACAATGCTCTGTGGGAAAAACAAAAGTTCCAGATAAAAATCATGCAAATGCACAGGCACATGCACACATGCACATGCGCACACATACACAAATACACACATACGCATGTGCGAACACATACACATACACACCCTACCTAGGAACAAGCAAACTAGCAATATTTTCAGATTGAAGCAGCACCAGGTGTGTGCCGCGGATGAATAGCAAGAGGGATATTATAGTCACAAACAGGAAATGAGTGAAAGAAATGAGAATCACAGGCAGTTGGTCTGTATGTTTACATTGATTAGAGAGGAGAAAGCAATGCTACAAATTTGAATGAAACAAAAACCCATCAGGCAAGAGAAAAGAATAAGTAAATAACCACTACCTGGAAGAACAATGTCAGAAGGCTCAGATAATCTCAATTCACCCACAACAGAATCAGACCGAACAGGAGTGTAACTGCAAAACATTTAGTAGATCGCCATATCATTCAGACAGATGAAACAAGACAATATTTATATTTATTGGATATCACACAAAATTCCAGCACAGATGGTGGATCAAAAACTAAAAGGGGTCACTAGAGCAAAAATTCTACCCAAAGAACAAGCGGCAGTTGTAGTCTTCATCTGTAACTTTATAGGTTATAGAGTTTGCTCCATTGATGAGACTCATGGTTCCTTCAATGATTTCTCTGTACCAGCTGAAAAGACTTGACCCCTCAAATCCTCCATAATAGTCCCCTACTCCAGAAAAGACCCCACTAGAAAGCTCCTTAATCTGAACATTTCGAACAGTTGGAAGAGCTGCGGAGATACAAAGCATAACAATAAGCCAAAAGTAGCAGCAATGCTCATAAAAAATATGTCGAAGACATATATTGCCCAAAGCAATCAGCATTTGGAAGAGCCTCTACCTGGAGCAACAGGACCATCACTAATTGCAACTATAGGTGCTCCACATTTCCCATCCTCACGAACAGGCACCCAACGTAAAGCTAGATAAGCTCCCACATCTTCCAGCTTTGGCGAATATGTCCTGTGTTGCGAATTGGAATATTAAGATGCAAGATATACAGTCAAAAATGGTTTCTCAGAGAGAATTTACATAGGCACTTACAAGTTATTTCCAAGAATACCAGCATTGGCACATGCATCTGCTATGCTCATCAACTCAGATTCAGGAATCTTCTGGTTGAGTCTAAACCATGTGTATTTCCCATCACCTTCCTGTCCACCATAATACGATTTTCGAGGGACCATCTCTTCATCCTCATAACCATCAGGAATACCCAACTCTAGTGCTACAGGGTCCGCTGGTCAACCAAGAAGTGTGAGAGGGTGAAGTAAGCAACAGATTTTATCCATCCCAAGAAAACATCTAAGCAGAAGGAAGACATACTACCATGTGTAAAACAAAGAACCAATGAAAGGATTAAAGCGCTCCTTGGTTTTAAGTAATTACTCTTAAGGTTCTGTGATGTAGTAAATTAGACTAAAACATGCACTACCCCCAATAATACTTCTCAATTTTGTACCATCAAATAATTATAGGAAGGTTACATGCAAAATATCGGGCTTCAAGAGAACATAAAGGCTTTTCCGTAACCTATGCTACATGGAGAGATAACAAAAACTATATATCAGGTTTGGTTTGTGGAAATTTCATATATGCACAGATCTGAGGCAAGTTCAATTTGGAATATAATATCCAACAGTAGAACAATTCATCAAATCCATATACCACACATATCATCCACCCATGCATAATTACAAAGCAGCTGATCGTGTCAAGAAGGACCCATCATGTGACTGCCTCCTCACCTCCCCCCCCCTCCTCCCCGCCCCACCTCCCTCTTTCTCCTTTCCTTTCTGCCTCCATTGATTCGTTAAGTATCATTTGCTCCTCAAGTTTTTTTAAATCAACTAGAAACACCTTTCTTTTACTTCCATGGACTTCAAGATCTGATTACTCCAGAAACCAGAGTTTTCTAACCGAATTGGGTGAAGTCTGTAAATTACCAAGTGGACAACTGAAAGCTAAAAGGATTAACGAAGAGCAACACGTTGAAAAACAGTAATTGATATGTAAAGGGAGATTAATAATAGAGATTGTGATCAATTGCTTCCAGAGAAATATCATATGGAAAAGCATCAATTACCAGGAGCAATGACATCAGAGAGAATGATCTTAGGGTCTCCTCTTAGCCTATCTTTTCTTACAGGCGTGAAAACAAGTTGAATACATCTGCCCACGTCTTCATTCGTCAACTCCAGAAACTCTGCAAGGAAAACTTAAAGAAACAATCAATATAAATACATAAAATTATGCTTTCACAAGCAGTTTAAGCAAGGATGTCATCTGAAAACAGATGCAGATTCTTACCTCTGCTGCTTAGCTTGTCCTTGAAATTGTTACTTCTCAGCCTAAACCATTCATAAATGCAATCTCCTTTCTCTCTATATCATAAGAAATTTGAGATTTTTAGATGATCAGTGGAGACAAGAAAAATAAATTGTTTAGGGTGACCACAAATCTACAAGTGCAAGACATTCTTACCCGCCCCAATACGTGGCAGCAAAGCTTAAACGTTGACCTTCAACCATCGACCCACGAAATTCAAGCAACTCACATGTTGGAGATCCTTTACCCAGGAAATGGAAATAAATAGAATTAAGAACACTAACATTGGAAATGATTTTGTATGATAGAACAAACTTCAGTCGCATTATTACACATACAAGAACTAGAAAGTAAAATGAAAATATTACTAGAGAGTAGAGTAGTAGATATTAACATAGAAAATATTGCAGAAAGAGATACAGAGAATATGGTGATCTGAAGCTGTGCATGCATGCGCACATCTTCAGAGCACGTGGAATAATTAGATTTACTTGGGAACAGTCCCTAGTCCTCAAAGGTGCCGCGCTTGGGTCAAGATGGTAGCAGCTGGGATTTCATAGCACTACGTCTCAAGGTCCATTCCTATGTAACCTTGTCAAAAAAAAAAAAAAAGGAACCATCCCTTGTGCTTAACCTTCCCCATCAACAACAACTTTAACCATCATGTTCCATATAAGTTCTCCATTGTTCGTTCATGTAATATTGCTGAAGCATATATAGGCATGGGATTATAGCCCTTTTGAGTGCATAACATAATGGATGTGTATCAGAAAACTCACCAGGTAAAATGGGTCCAATGTCTTGAGAAAGCACCGTAGGACCTCGAGCCCAATCACTTCGAATAGGCTCACATGAAACACAGATATGGAAACCTATATCAGCACTTGAAATGGTGTATGATGAACTACTTGCACCTTTTATTTCATGTTGTGTCGCATCTGAGCTCGTCTGGGACAAGGAAAAGCAAATTAAACAAATCATCATTGTAACATCTCAAATGAAACCAAGAGGGTGTTTATCTCAAAATTAGCATTAGAGAGGGCATACCAAGAACCAACGAAAAACTGACCCTCCCTCACTCCCTCCCCAATATCTCTTGTCAACATGAAGAGTAGACCCTTCAACACATTCCCCCAATATTTGCAAAGAAAGAAGCCTTGGACTACCTGCCAGTGGAATTGCATAGAAAAAGAAAGAAGGCATATCTAAGTTCACGTGTGCAAGAAGTGTCTCCAAATATGTAATTAATAGTTGTACCCATTCCTCCATAGACTCACCAGGACGAACTCGCTCCTGCCCCATTAAAGTTCTTGGTTCACCAATGGTGCCATCATCTCGTGCAGGAGTACATCTGAATGAGACAAAGTTGCCAATGGCTTCCTTTGATATGCGATATTGAAGAAGACCCGATGCCTCGGGTATTAAAATACCAGGATCATTTTCACTCTGCCCATGAGTTGCAAAAAGTGAATGAATAGCCAGTAAGCATGAAGAAACTAAACATTCTTGTTTCCTACCATACAAAGAGGCTTAAATATACTTTGTTGGGCAAAATCTAAGACATCAGTCAAGCAGCCAGAATACCTCATGAAGGTACCAATTGTATTGACTATCGCCTTCGTGACCCCCAATGTAACCATAAGATGCAGTCAGTATTTCACCCTCAGAGTAATCACCAGTGACCGAGAGGAAATTCAGGCTTGGTGGAAGGGCTGCAAAATGAGGAAAATTTATTATTTTTTAATGACTTGATTTTGTGTAATAAATCCAAATAAAAATATGTGAAAATTTATGAACGTAACACTACAGGTTTACTTTGTCACTTGGAGATGGATACAAAATAGGTTCCTCCCACAAGTATAATGATTGCAACTCGCACTATACGAAGAACCTCAAGTAACAATTGGTCAAAAAGTGGCAGATTACTGAAGCATATATATGTGACGTCGTAATAAATACTTACTTACTGCATGGTTAAACCCCAAAACCAACAACCAAATGGAAAATTATTCTCAAAAGACATGTGAATGACAGTAGCAAGCTGGAGATAGAAAGAGAATGGATGCAACCAATACTCAAGTAGTCTGCTTAGTTTGGAAAAGAAGCATCTCTCTCGAACTTCTAGAGATTAAATACTTCAACGAGAAAAAAATAGGAAGGTCATCTTTTTCCTTTTCTTTTTTTTTCCTTTTTTTTTTTTTGATATCAATCAAAGGGGATGTCTAGGTCCAGGGATCTAATATTATAGGGTTACAAACTGTAAGGGCTAATATTTGAAAACACTACAAGATTTTGATTTGAATATTTGAGGAATTTGCAGTTCCTCCCACAACAGGAATGTACATTTTGTGATTGTAACTAAGACTCGACAAATTTTGCTTGTATATGGTTCACTAATTGGGAAACTGCAGCAAGGATTTCCACGGTAAAAGCAAAAGGACTTAATTAAGGTCCAGTAATCGTGCAAAAATCTCAGTCCTACATCATCATGCTGGACTTTCCATTCACAGCTAAATACATGAACAAATTGAACGCCAAGTATGCTTACTTTCAACTGCTTTGTCAGAAATAACATATGCAGGTTCTCCAGAATCACCATCAGGAGCCATTGGAATAAATTTTGCTACAATGTAATAACCAACCGCACCCAGGGGGATTCGAAAAGCCTATACACAAGGTTAATATTTAGTCAGTTCAATGTAATCTATCCAAGAAGAGAAGGGAGATTTTTTCCAAAATTGTGAATAAGAAAAACTAAGGAAAAGAATCATAGAGCGGCAGACAAGAATTGTATCAAAAAGGGGTATACCATGTGAACTATGGCAATCCAGAGTCATCAACCACAAAAAAGTTAGAGCAAACCTTCGCAATTTTGGATGTGCTCACAGCTTCAAGGCTATTCTCCCCGTCCAACTTGGAAGAACTTGTTTTGAACCACTGCACTCTGCTCGATCCTTCAGTACCTCCAGTGACCGAAGCACTTACTGATACTTTACTTCCCTCTCTTATATCTCCAACTATTTTCAAATTGGAGACCTTTGGAGGGGCTGGAAGTAAAGAGTTATTAGTAACAATACAAAGAAATAGGAAATGGAAGGTCAGAACAGAGAACAGTATTATCAGCATATGAACTGCACAAGATATGAACGTTTGCATGGTAGTTCACATTTAAGATATAAGGAGAGGCAAATCTAAACCATGGATATTTAATAAACTATAGGAAGTCTACATATGACATTGCTTATTGCAGTATAATTTCAATAATGCAATATAAATTAGCCAGCTGCATCTATTTCTAACTTCCTACCAAGAGAGAAGTAAACAACAGATTGGAAGATAAGTCCTCTTTCAATCAATAAACTATATCATAGACAAAAGGTAAAATGAGTTGCTGACATCTTTCTTTCCTTATAAATACGGAAGAATGCAAAAACCTCTAGAGGCAAGGCTATGAACTCCAAGGATATGCTGGTGAGGATATGAGGATATTCAGTGTCAATGCTCAGCCAAGGCAGCAGGTACATTCAAAATGTATCAAAATCCGAAAAGAAAATTCACACCCATCTCTTAACAAAAAACTTTCCAATCAGAAGCACAGTTGGTGATATGACAATTAGAGACGGCATGTACATGAAGGAAAACCAGTAGGAGTGTACTACATCAGCAAAAGTATACGGACAGCAATGGAACACAATTGGTGAGGGCTTTGGAGAGACAAGAGGCAGTGCAGAAGACAAAGCCCACACTCTGAAAAGGTTTTGTGACCTCATGCCATACTAATACGATGCCATGACCAAGCATATGGTTCTCTAAAGCATGCACTAGCACACCTTGTGCATCAGACATGCCGCACAGCACGTCGGCTGCTTGGAAATTATGAAAGCCACAAGCACTCTTCTCCTTAAATCACTGCAGATACCATATGAATTTTGGCAAAATAGTAACTGCAACTCATTCAGTTCCTACTCCAATTTGTTTAAAACCTTTTCTGTAGAATGCTTAACAGGGAAGAAGCCTAGTTGCACATCTTCATGTTTTCAAGTGTGTTTGGATTTGTCGCCCAGCCATGACAGATCTATTACACCAGCAGCAGTGGAAAGATATGCTTCCTGGGCCATGAAACTGATCAGCAAGCTTATCATTGCTCTAAAACTGATACTTATCAAAAGAGTAAATCCAATGAAGAAATTAAGGGGATAAGCTCATTAGTCATATTATCAAGAGTTAGTCCCAATCACCTTAATCAATATTCTGTTGATCATTTTCATCAGAGAAACAGTGCAGCCAAAATGTAAAACATTAACATCACAAACAAACTCTTGCGATAGTTAAAACAGTAAAAATGTTCACTGAATGAAATAATAAAATCTGAATACATGATTATTCGATTAGGACATTCCCTCTGCCCCTACCGTACTCCAGCTTGATAGTTTCCACCGCCTATCCAGGGTTGAGCCCTGGGATTTGACGGCGGACTTGAAAAGCCACCAACAGTGAAATTATAAAATCTGGATACATGATGATTCCATTAGAACTTCCCATTAAACATAGGTCACTATGCTAATATGGAGGCTTCTCAATGCAATGGACCTCATGTCAACAACAGCCTGAAGTTTCTCTAGCAGCAAACTGCAAATGATCTTACTAGTATATGACTGTATTAACCGAGTTTGTCATAATACCAATCATCACAAACTTGGCAACAGGTAGCCAGCTGATCACTACATATTTCATGGCGACATGATGGAAGAATGTAGTTTACTATCGGCTTATTGCCTCATACTACCCCTAATACATTTACCAACATCAATGGAGCATGCCTGCATTGGTTGCGGTCATATCTCATCCTGAAAAATATGAACTTTACACTAATGGAGAATAAGGACAAAATTTCCACGAAGCACAAGCCAAAGAGATTTTAGTATATGGCATAAAGATGTTTACTGCTTCTTGCATAGAATTCCCTCAACATTATGATCTGTACATTTTCTGAAAACAACTACAAGAGAGTTGAATATTTAACTTCGTAGTGGACAGTAAATATCACAAACGAATACCTTGCTTAACGGTATCTGTCATGGCTGTTACAGGTTTCCCTTCCTGCCCTGAAAAACAAAATGAGAGCCACCAGCCATCAGAGGCACACCTGGTATATACATTCCAAAATTCATAATACTACCTAACGATGTTGCCGCACCTTCAAAGTTAATTGGTATATAAACAAATCCCAGGCGAACGCCAATGTCTTCCTTTGTCAGAGTATACTCAGATGTACCAGTCAACACCACCGTAAATTCACTGCAGTAAGTAACAAAGATATTATGATACAACAAGCCAAAGTGAATCCATAGACTTCAATAATGGTGGTGTACTTGATCGAGTGGTTCTAATGGATATGAAAAAAACCAAATCAGCAGGGAGAGAATTTCAGACTGACACCACACCTATCAGAAATGGAAAGTTCCAATAGCATAACACCACACCTATCCCAATTAAATCAAGCAAGTTTCACAATAAAAATTATAAAAGAAATGGGTAATCAATGTGATACTTAGGAGAGTCGTGAACAGAAGTCATATGAGAATGATAGGCAAAAACTGTAGCCTTAGACACATTCTCAAATAGACAACTACTACAACCGTTCTGACCTATTGTATGCAGCTATGCAGTCACTAACATTGCGACAATGAAATATAAATATAAGGGAAGATTAACAAAATACCTATGTGAGATGCACTATTCAACATTGCACCCACATTGATTTAATTTCTGATAATTTCCCAAAACAATATCTTCTCGGCTGGTAGAGGTCTCCGCCAGGGCGATCCTTTGTCGCCTTTCTTGTTCGCTATTATGGTTGAGGTCTTCAGCACCTCAATCTCGAGGCTCTACCAAGCAGGCCTCTTGAGAGGATTCCAATCAAGCAATCAAGGTCCTTTCATCTCCGACCTGCAATACACTGGTGACACCCTCATCTTCTGTGTCTCCTCGGTGCAAAACGTTGATACATTGCTGCTGTTTCTAAAGTGTTTTGAAATGGCTACTGGCTTTAAGGCCAACCTAGCCAAATCCAAGATGATGGGGGCTGCATCGACGCATCTCTAGTCTAATTACTCGCCCATAGATGGGGATGCTCTGTTGAGAACTTACCCTCTACTTAGCTCGGACTTCCCTTTGCCTTGGCATGCCATGGCTCTCGCAATGGAGTCATATAATCGACAAATTCGACCAGAGACTTGTGGGCTGGAAAGACAGGTTCCTACCCAAGGTGGGAACATGTTTAAAATGCGGCCGCATCATGCGGTATGCAGTGGGCTCCGAATCAGAACTGACCACATATGTGCTTTTGACCTATGCGGCCGCATATGCGCCACATCAGGCTGCATCGTAGACGCATCCCGCATCACATCGCATCCCACCACATCCCCTTCCGGCAAATGTTTTTTTGATTTTACCCCTCGGGGAAGGCCAAAATGGTCTTTTTGACCATCCAAAATGGGGGAAACTGTTTGGGGGGGTATTAAACCCCCTAAACGATGATTTCCAGCCACTTTTGTGGTTTTTTTTGCATCAAATCAAGGGAAAGAAAATTTCAGCAGAATTTATTTTTCATTCAAATCTTCGATTTGGCAGTTGTTTGATGCTTGGATGTTGATTTGATGCTTTTGATTGTTAACTTGGGGATGTTAGGGTGAATTTGTAATAAGAAATTGGGGGCTTCAGAGGCCGTGAATTTGTGCTTATGGTCGTTGATGGTTATGCTTTTGTGCTTATGGTTGTGTTTATGGTGCAAATTTGTGCTTATTGATGTTGATTGTTGAATGTTTTATGAAGCTAGTTTCAAGTTTCTAGTTTCTATCAGGGGGTAGTGGATAACTGGATACAAAATCTCCGACAGCTAATAATTTTGAAGTTAATCATTAAACTAAGATATCTACTATCACATATATCACCTCCATATTTTTTTCTATGCATTAACCTATTTTTTTAGATTTTTAAAAAAAAATTGCATTTATTGACAGCATCGTCGCGATGCACCCGCATCCGGGCCGCATCGAGCCGCATCGACCCCCCCCCCACCGCTTTTGGCCGCATCCCGCATTTTAAAACACTGGGTGGGAAGACTCACGCTTATCAAGGCCTCCTAGCCAGCACTCCCATGTTTCAGATGTCTTTATTCCATATCCCTGCCTCAATGGCCGCGAGATTGGAGCGAATGATGAGGGAATTCTTCTGGTCTGGGGATCACGGACACAAGTTCATCGCATATCTTGGTCCAAACTGCCATTACCTAAATCTCAGGGGGGCCTGGGTATTCGCAACCTCAAAGCCCACAACAATAGCCTTTTGGGCAAGTGGTGGTGGAGGTATGCAACCCAACCATGCCACCTTTGGAGGGAGGTCATCAAGCACAAATGTTGCTATGGCAATGACCATTGGACTCGCGAATGCAGAACCAGTGGGCATATCTCTGGCTTCTGGAGGTCTGGCCTTTGATGCTGAGACACTTTCCTCCAACACGTTCGATTTTGACCACAGGAGGGGAATAGGATGAAGTTTTGGACTAACACTTGGATCGGCCACACACCTCTCAGGGATCAATTCCCTAACCTATTTCTCTTAGACCATGCTGCTTAGTCCTCTGTGGCCGAGATCTTCAGTTTTTCGGGTCCTACAGATCCTGGATGCCTAACTTCAGGAGACCCCTCAATGATCACGAACTCAAAAACTTTAGGGCATTGGCTGAATTTTTCATTCTGTATTGCTCCCTCTCTTTGGAGACGATAAGGTTATTTGGGCTCCAGCTACATCCAGATTATTCTTGGTGTCCTCCTTTTTTCGAACCCTCACCTTCAATCCCAACCTTGCTTGTCCCACTCTCACTCTAGCCTCCAAAGCTTGATTTCACTTCTTACCACCTAGGATACAGGTGTTTTGCTGGATGGCGCTCCATGAGTGAATGATGACTGTTGATCATCTTCAAAGGAGAGGTTTGTAATGCCCAAATAGATGCATTTTGTGCATGGAGGCTGAAGAGTCCAATGCCCATCTTTTCCTCCACTGCAAGTATGCTAGAACCTTATGGAACAATCTTCTGCGCCTTTTCAAGTGGCCCCGGGTCACTCCTAGATCCATCCCCCATTTGTTTCAGGCTTTCCTCTACACTCCCTGGTCCAAGGCAGGGAGAGTACTTTGGACAGCCTCTATCTCAGCCACTATCTGGGCGTTATGGATAGAAAAAAACCACAGATTTTTCTGGGGAGAGAGATCCACAGTCACGGAGTTGGCCGAGAAAGTCAAGAACCTAGTGGCCTTCTAGACCACAAACCACAAGCTCTTGAAGGATTTCTCCTTTACTGATTTCTATAGCAATTGGCAGGGTTTGCTGCGCCTGGCCTATCTTAGGATCTTGTGGGCATCGCTTTGGAGACCACCAGAACCGATATCCATTAAGCTTAACTTTGACGGTTGCTCCCTTGGCAACCCTGGACCATCTGGAATTGGTGGTCTTTTTCGATTAAGTAAGGGATGCACATTGTTATCCTATTCCTGCCCTATCGATATGGCAGACTCGATTCTTCCCGAGGCCCTAGCCCTCTTGGAGGGCCTTCGCAAGTTTGACCACACATGGAGTCTCGATCTGGTGGTGGAAGGGGACTTCAAGAACGTCATTGCATGGGCATCTAATCTCTCCTCTTGGCCGTGGCATCTAGACAATATATTCGACTTATCCCGTGGTTTCAGAATCTCATGGTACCATGCTTTTAGAGAAGCCAACTCTGACATAGATCGATTGGCTAGGGACGGGACCTAATCTAATTTCCCGATGGGGCCTTAGGCTTTTGTGGCCACCCTTTTCTTTCCCCACTTCTTTGATCAGTAATTCTCTCATTGTAAAGTTAAAGCATTTTTGGACCCTATGGGCTATGTATAGAGTGCCCTACCGGGTCACCTCATTTTTGGTATACTCTATTATTCAGTAATACAATTATAGTGAACTTCCTCAAAAAAACAAATTCCCAAAAAATACAAGGTATCTCTTGATATCGTGGTATCAAAGTGTCAAGTTATCTCGAGAATAAAGTGATCACATGTAGAAAGGAAAACTCTAGTTGCTCAATGGTCAACTTAATGTTCAAAATCTATGGACTGTTCTGAAGCCATCAAGGTAAATTTCTGGTGTTGCTACAATGGAGAAACTAGAAAGTCACAGGAAGCAGAATTTGAGAGATTAACAAAGAAATTACAAACAACAATGAAAGATTGGTTTAGAAGGCATTTCTGAGATGGTTATTCATGGACTTCTTAGCACAATGGCTGCTCGTGGAATGTTCTAGCACAATGACATAGATCAATAATGTTACAAGTTTAAGGATACCATTGCCATCAGTTGAATGGACAATAACAAAAATGACGAGTCAACCTTTGCACATTTTACCTAGATGTACTTTGAAAATATGCATGTGGGTAGTTATATTCAAAGAAATGTCCTGATTCAGAAGCAGGTTTTTGACACTTAACATTTAGGATAAGTGCAATGCCTTGAACATAAAAAACATTCTGAGCATCTAGGCACTCAAAAAAGCAGGAAAAGCATACCCAGTTTCCTTGTTCTCACGAAGCCACTCAAACTTGCTTGGGCCTTCCCTTCCTCCAAAATAATCCCCAACCCCTTTAATGGTAATACCTTCAACAGCATCATGTAGGATGCGTACATTACTCACTGAAGGAGTAGCTGGCATGAGAAAAACATAGATAACAAGTAAAACTTAGAACAATAGATAACAAGTAAACTTAGAACAATTAACAAGATCAATAAGAAACTCAAAAAAAAGTGAACATCATATGCCATGATCACAGTAAAGTTCAATAACTTCAACTCTGAATTGAGAAACAGTTCTTTTTTGCACAAGCTTTCAAGAAGGATGAACAGCAAATTTTGACAATAAGTTTTCAATAGAAAGACACGTCTTAGTAATCTACAATTCACGTAACCAGCAAAATAAGATAAACAAATGAATTCACAAAGAGACATAGGAGCTCTTACTCCCAATGGGTGGCCAAAAGGATGCACTAAACATGAACTCACAAAGAGACATAGGGGCGCTTGCTCCCAATGGGTGGCCAAAAGGATGCACTAAGCCAAAAATTATGCCATCATTACTAATAATAGCAAGTCATAATAAGTAACTACGACCATAATTCTCTCTGAAATTTGTAGAAAGCCACCTTCCATATGCAAAAGTGGGAATACACCATTACATGCACACATGCATGCATGAGCATTGGAGATAGAATGCCAAAAAACTTTCAAATCGATACTAAAGAGAAGCACCCAATTTCCTTATCCAAAGCATACCGGCCTTTACAAAGTCAGTCATAGCATACTGAGGCTCTCCTTTAACACCTTCCTCTGTCACTGGTGTGTACATAAAAACCAAACTCGAATCAATGTCATCTACTGTCAACCGATACTCTTCATCTTCAGCTCCAACTATTACCACAGGACTGCTGTTCCATCTCCTTCTCAACCAGCTGGGGATAAAATAAAAGCAGCAAAGCATAAGCAGTAGTAAAAAATACCTCAGGAAAAGAAATAGTTTCATGCAAGAAGCAAAGAAGAAAACTCACCTTGCCACGCCTTTTCCTGGAGGCCCACCACACCATGCAACCTCAGCAAAGCCTTTGATCACATTGCCCTCAACGAGTTCTCCTTCGACCTTTAAGTTAAGAACCTTCGGGCATCCAGTGCCTGATCCAAACAGAAAATCAAAATAATAACTGGAGGTTTCACCGGATATGACAACCCAATGCACAAACAGAACTCTGTTGAAATATCTATTAAGATTCTATCATTCCAAAAAATGTATTAAAAAATAAATAAATAAATAAGCTACCCAGAAGCTGCAATATTCGTCACAGGGTAGAATCCCATAGCTTACAAGAGAGGTAGCACAGCTTGAATTAAGTTGAAAAGAATTCAAGTATTCAACAATGCCTCATTTTCTTTTCCTGACTCCGCTTTCAGCACAGTTGGTGTAATACATATAGAAAATTTTTCTTATAACCGACTTTGGCTATCAAACCAGACATTTTGAAGACCTTAACAAAAAAATTAAATAAACACCTATAGAATGCATTCCAAACTAAAATAGAATAAAGAAGGAAACACCTACCTTCTGGGAAAGTTTAACACAAAAGCTATTTCAAACCTTTTTATTCAAGCTGAAGTTTGTGACTATTTATGTCATTTTCCATTGTATCTAGGTCTTAGTTTTTACTTTATGAAAACAACGTGCTTTTAATCCTTTCATATGATCTGTATATTTTTCTTTTTGCTATAACTGACATCAAGTGTAAAAATCAGTATAAGAAATTAGCAAAAAACCTCACTATTCTTGTTGAAGATTGTATGAATTTTGGTTAAAATTTACGTAGCATCTTAGCATGAGTGGTTGCTTAATGTTAGTATGAAATAGAACCACCTTATTTATTCTTGATTAATAATGGAGATCAGAAGTTCAACCAAGAAATGCTAATTACCGCACAGATAAACAGTTCTGCAGCCATTTCAATTGTTTACCCTAAGTCTAAGGGAATAGTAATTATTAAGCATGGTACAATAGCATGCATTTAAATTTTCCAAATGTAAATTCAATATGCAAAGCAAAACATACCAGCAGTAACGGGACAAGAAACGGCAAAGATTGGAGGATACTCAGTATCACCCAGTATTGGAATGCACTCAACCTTCAAGAATCGATCGATCTCTTCATGCTTTGGCCAGTAGCTCTGAGAAAGAATTTGATCAAGCACACTGAATCCACAAAATGATGCATTGATACCAAATAATAATAGATTCTTAATATTCAACCCATGATGTTTTACCTCTCCATTGGCACCTTTGATAGCAACAAATCCGGTAGGTGTTTTCTCTCCAATAAACCATTGGTATTTTAGAAATAACTCAGAATCATTAGACACTGTGCGGTCTTTCACAAAAACAAAATGGCAGCGGCAAGCGTCATCTTCAAAAGGTTGATCAACACATGCTTCCTTAAGAATGTAGCCTGGGGGTAAATGGTCCTTCCATCGTCCATAAAAAAACCGGAAAGTCGAATCTGTTCACATGCAACCATAGTAATAAAGTTTCTGAAGTTAAAGGACTCTTGAACTATAGGCATCTCATCCTCAACGAACATGCATACATTTCAGCTGTTCCCACTTCTCATATGTTGACAAAACAATAAAGAAGATAGAAATGCCAGTAATGTGTTAATATTTACAATTACAGTCAAATATTACTGCTCAATGTTTCTTTGTTCTTTTTTTTTCTTTTTTTTCTTTTTTTAAACTTACCAGTGGGTTTTTTTAAAAAATAAAAATTACCAGTGGGGTACCTGTACAAACACCGCTACTGTATAGAAAAACAAAAAAAAAAAACTCTTGGATGTTTAGTAACCAACATGTAGAGCTCTGATTGATCCTAAAAGTTTCAAATGAACTGGAAATTCCACCGATACTTTGCAAAGTAGCAATTGAATTAATAAAAAAAATACTAGGCATATCCTAGCCAGCTGAAAGACAAGCATATCAAGAAGAGAACTCCACAAAACATACATCTAATGTCACCAAACTTGACTAAATACCTACTACACATCCTCTGTTGACAGAAAAAATAGCCTCTAGCATTAGTGATACTCTCAACGAATCCTCTCTCCAGAAATGACACCACAGGAATGTCTCACATATCCAGAAGCCACCATGAAACTAAGACATTCCATTCGTTAAATGTATAACAATCTAGTCCCTTCATTAATTGTATTGTGAGAAAACCATCTACAAAGAGCCTTACCCGCTGGTTGGGGATATTTTTGTATCATGGTGCCCATCACCAGTTTCCTCAAGTATGGAGCACAAAACCATGTACAGCAACCCACACCCAATTACCGGCTTAAAACTCAGCGACGGGCAGCCTCATCTTATCCGACCAATCCTTAAAAGGCAGGGTAAATGCAAGTTCCCAACTCAGGGTGGCCTGCCAAAAGCAAAAACTGCAGGGCCATCCACTCCAACAGGCAGGCAGTCAGCATATACACCTAAACTGCCAGAAAATGGCAAATGCTAAGGAAAACCCCCAAACGTGAACATATCAAGGCCAATTTTGGAGATCCTCATTTTGGGTTATGAAAGACCTCTCTAATTAAGGTCATGAACTTTGGGATAGGTTGTGACCCAAAACCCATGACAGCTAACAAGGGTTTTGGTTTAACCACTATGAAGATGACACAAATGGTCACAAAATTGGGCTGAAATCTAACCTACTATACCCCCAGGATATCCCCCAAAAATCAGGTCATTATGGTATCGAGAGGCCAAGATACTAAAGAAACTACGTTGATAGCATGTATGATGGCCTGTGTAGCATGGAAAATAATGCAAAATTGTAAAGGACCCCTTGTAAGTCAGTACCTAATAAACCCGAAACTCTCAAGAATGATAGCAAAGTGCTCAAAACTCTTATCTTTAAAATTTGGAATCAATTCAACATCATTTGGTACTGCTAACTAAAGTTCTTGCATGTAGCATATTTTTCCTAGGCTACCTTGAGTTATTATTCACAATGCTTAAAAACACTGCAAAACAGCACAAAAGGTGATTTTGTGAAGGTAATATCTCCCAAAACCCATGGAAAAGTGACCTGGTTTTTTGGTATGTGGTTCCTTACTATGTAAGCTTTCCATCAAGGTATAATCTTGGGGGTTCTTACTTGGGAATGGAGAGATCTAGAGAGAAGTTGGGATATTTCAGCACTTTCTCATGTTGCAGACTGACCTCCGCTCACCTTTTCGACAATTTCTCCCAATCCGGGAGGAGTTTTAATATTAAACTTGATTGTGCGAACTCCTGACTCAATCCTCTTTCCATCCATATAAGATGTGTTGTAATCATTTTGGAGATTACTGAAGATTTTTTAGCCCAATTGCAGCTACATTTTTTTAGCCCAATTGCTGAAAACCAGGAATTTACACCCACAAAAACACCCATAACTCCTTCAATATGTGAAGGTTCTGGGTGATATTAGAGGCAAAATGATCCTATATTGAACAAGCAAAAACCAGTAAAAAGGCAGAAAAATAAGCAAGAAAAGTGTATGGATACATGGTTTTGCTGATTTTTTGATAGAAATCCACAAAAACATCCATAAGTCCCTCAAATCTTGGAGTTTTTGGATGAAATTTGTTGTAAAATGTTCCCAAATAGATCCTCTACGACTTTGTGGAGCCAATTTCGCTGCTTACTGAAACAAGGCCCTAAAGTGATGAATATATGGGATCCCAAGTGTTCCAAGGGCAATAGTTAAAATTTTCATCAAAAATCACCCCAACAAACTTGTCCGTTTCGAAAGTAATGGGGCAAAAAGTTGGTTTCCACCCATGTATCATCAAGAAAGTTATTTCTCCACCCATGTTTCAATCCACATCTACAAAAGGCCCAACCCTAGGTCATTTGAAGGGTTGGATGTTGGAGATTGGAAACTTGAGAGAGCAGCTTAGATAGAGAGAGAGAGAGAGAGCAAGCTAGAGAGAGAAACTCCAATATCTAGAAAGAGAAAATTCAAACCCTAGCAAGTCATACCTCAACTTGATTTGAAATCCTAGCAAAGAGAGAGAATCAAACTATCGGGGCTTATGCCGGTATGATATAAGCCAGATGGTCTAAATGAATCCATCTAACAAGATCCGAGAGATTTCGAATCCAATTTGTAAGCATTTTCTTTGCTTAATTAAAAAGTTATGTTTTCTCTTTTTCTCGTGTGCTTGCTTTCCATATGGAGTCATTTATATATTGTCATGCACGCATACATGAAATAGGGTGACACCCATGAGTAACACTAACACACTTGGGGCAGTAATCCATCAACAGAATTTGTTTTTAAGTAATACATTAATCAATGTAAAAAGATATCAATTCAAGAAGGTACAATACAACTACAACAATTACAATAGAAAAGCAATTGGGAAGAAGATCATGTAAAATAACTCTTAGATCATGACATTACCTAGGTAACAAAGAGATACAAGAAACACATCATAAAGGTAAATGACAATCAACCGTAACTTCTCAAGATATGTCCTTATACACAGAAGGAAAAAAAAATCAAAGCAATACCAGCAAAAATCTAAAGGCTAATAGAGCAATGTGCTTCAAAATTGTAAAATGTTGTGAGAACTGAGAAAAATAGATATAAGCTAAAGAAAATGTGAAACACATGGATATAATATTAACTTGAGGATATGAACATTCAACATAAGAAAGCATGAAAAATTCAAGCCATATTGAGAAAAAGAAATACAAAAATCATAAAAAAGTAAACAAGACCTGATTCCCATCCTTGGTACCAAAAGACGGAGCATAGAAAGCTAACCTTCAGAAAGTTCAGGCTTACAAAAATCCCAACCATCTCTTATGCATAAGGCTGTGTGGGCAGGATATAGTTTTGCAAGCTTCTGCTCCTCAGAAGAGAGATCTACATGAATTCCATGAATTAAAGTAAGCAAAGGTACTAAATTAGAAAATGCTAAACCTAAAATAAATAAAAAAGAAAAGACAATCGCCTCCCACAAATTGATGGAAAAGATAAAGACTATTTGTCAAAAAGAAAAGAAAAGATAAAGAATGTGAAACCCCAAGAGCTCCCATATAAATCTTGGATTCACGGCAACTTAAAACTGGTGAATAAAATGACATAAATAAAATGACTAGACACGCACACTACATTATAAGGAGCTCAGATTCTTCGAAAGTGGGAATGCTTTCCTTGGTGGGAGTTGATTTATGTGAATGGAAATATTGCTCGTTCATTAAAATGGATCAGTGTACCAAAAAACCTCATAGGATGCCAACATAATGTTCAAACATATCCTACATCAGGTCATCAGTATTTAAAGTTCTTGGGAACGTACCTCGATCATTGAACTTTTTTAGAGTGGGTCCAACAAGCAAGATGGAAGCTGCTTCTAGATGGGGCATTTCCAATATCGGGTTCTCCTCCACGCGTAAATGCTGTGGCAGAGGACACAACAATCAGAGACCTCATCCAATTTAAATTAGCACAAACATTAACATGAAATAATTAGAAAACATGGCAAACTATTTTAAAGTGTGTACCATGTAGTTAATCAAAAAGCTTCTTTTGCAATGCATATACAACTTTTTTTTGGGTAAGTAATGCATATACTCCCTACTGAATGAATATTCATAAACGAATGGCACAGAGCACATGTATTACAGAAGCTCCACGTGCACGAAAAAACCACTAACCTCGAGAAGTGGTAGATGAGGAAATCCTTTTAAAGTTGATATTTTATTTTTGCTGGCTGCTAATACCTGAAAGGGTGCAATCAAAAAAAGAACCAAGTTCAAACAAAGAAAACAAGGATTGTGTTAAGCTCTGATTGATCCTATAACCTTTCTAACAATGGTAATAGTACATCTAAGATAGATCCATATGTAATAAGGAGTCTCAAACGTTCCAATTGATGGCTAACATGTAATTCGCAAACTCATGAAACCAACGTGTTACCACACAATTATGCACAGATTTATCAAAAATGAAAGAAACTAGAACTATCACAATCATTATGAGGGTGCAAACCTGCAGTCTGGGTTGACTGGCCATGGCAAGTGACTTTAACTTATTTTGAGCAACTGATAAAAACTGGAAATAAAAGGAACACATCAGATAATTGAGTACGAAGCAATCAGTTTGACATGATGGCCATGTGCCGGAGGGACCAATAAGACCAAAAGGCGTCATTACAAGACATGAATACCTCCAAATTAGGAAGCTGAGGGAGGCTCGCAAGTGATGTGATTTGATTTCCAGCAAGATATAATTGCTGCAAACATACAAATTACAAAGAGCATAAATCCCAGCTCAACCATTCCTTAGGCTTAGACAATTAAAAAGACATTGTGCTCATGGAGAATAGAAATGGGATAGACATTAAAATGTTATTTAAGAATGCACGAGCAGTCTCACCGACCTGGAGAGCTTTACAATTCTCAAGCGGCTCAAATCCTGGCCCTTTGAACTCATTAAAGCTCAAATCAAGAACCTGGCCGGAAAAACAATTCAAGCGTCACATTATGACTTACTACTGAAAGTGACTTCGAATTGAAACTAATGCTCGCTCAAACAGCTAATGTAACAGTAAATTATATACCCTCCAACCTCTATATGGATTCCTGAAATAGCATTTAACACCATGCAAAATCAACACAAACCTTCACGCGTTTCAAAATCTCAATCCCCGTCAGAGATGATAGAAGATTATCCCTGAGATAAACAAACTGTACAAGAGGAATATCAATAAAACTCAAATTTTACAAGCCAACAAGGCAACAATACAAAAGGTCGAATTTATGTCTCCAATTTGAATGGAATTTTTCTCGAAAATGCCAATTTGAGTGGAACTATTCACAAGAAAAATTAAGATGTTCAGATTGAAAACCCAGGACAGTTTGTGGATAAAATTGAATTGCATAGGCCACAATCAGTAGGCAACCAGTCAACAGATGAGTTTGAAGTCCAAGAAATCATCTCATCAACAAGCCCGAAAATCCTTTTCGGATTCTACAAAAAGCATGGTCGTGCAGAGGAACTCTCATATAACAATGAAATTATGAAACTTTTCCTGAACTGCTTATTGAATGCTCAGATGTGTATAGATATGCACTGCATGTATACATGCATGCACTGTGGGCATACACGTGCACACAAAGTTGTGGCAGTAATTGATGGAAAGATTAGATTTTATAGCACAATATGGAAAAGATTCAGCAGACCTAGAGGTTGCAAATTATTTGCACCACATTGGGCTTTAGAACTTATTACACAAGTTGCGAACTTAGATAGACAGATTGGCCAAAGATTCAACCATATCAATGTCCTCAGCAGAAAAGTATGCATGCAGGTAAGAAAATACAACTTCAGATTAATTACCTCTAGATTTGGGGACAAGTTCAACCCACCAGCATCCAGATTGCGTACTCTGTGACCCCTAAGATCTAGTCTCTGAAAAATCAACCAAATGACAAAAGAGAAAAGACCAATTATTTAAAACACAATGCTTCAAAGTAATAAGAGATTGAAACTCAAAGCCGAAGCGTCAGCCAGCAACATCCTTAGTTTTAAATTAGGTCACTATGCATATTTACCTGACAAGAGAAAAGTGAAACAACGACAAAGAAAACAACACACCACAAGAAGAAACATGATATGTAAGATTGTTCAAATCAAGGATTGAAAAAGTTCCCCAAATAACATATAGGAGAGAGCAACAGGGTGCGTCACAGAGGTGACTCCACACCTCGCTGCTCAGGTGTGAAGAGAGTGGAGGTGGGGGAGAAGAAGAGGAATGGAAAGCCATGGTATCTGTGCCATAATCTGGCCACACAGAGAGGAGAGGGAGAGAGAGAGAGAGAGAGAGAGAGAGATCAAGCATGTGATACTCTGGTCCGTACCACATCATCTCCTGCTTTGATCTCCACTTGTGGGAGCATCACAAATCTAGAGTCCCGACCATCCGGAGTGGAAGACTTACGGCGGCCAGTAACAGACGAAGAACCCCGGTCAACTGATGCCGATAATGAACCCAACTTTGCCTTGCTATTAATTGAAGGGGATCGGCTCGAAGGAGTAGAAGGCATCCTCTTTAGGCTACTAGCACTACCATCAAGTGAGACTGAGCTCCTAACCTGCGTCACACTTAGAGGCGTTGAACCCTTCTTCACTGAAGAACCAAAAGCAGCACCAGGGGAAGAGTTAAAAGCTCCTTGAGGAGACAAGATAGAGGGCTTAACCAAAGGTTTTCTCACAATTTCTTGCTTTCTATTGTCGGTTCTAGGAGATAGGCGTGAAGTTTTCATAGTAGAAGAAACGGAAGACGGTGTTGAAGGTTTAGTGGTAAGAGAAGTCAAAGAAGCTCTTCGAGACTCAGTTGGGTTTTGCTTTTCTGTTTCTGAAACAAAGGAGGAAACCCGTTTTAGTCCAGCTGCTGTGGTTATGTTTTCTGGCCGTTTATTAACCGATTGTCGCTCGGTAGTCAACCCACCAACGCTATTCCTTCTCTTTAAAGCAGCTACATTTTTATCAGAAGCGCTTGAAGGAGAACCCGAAACGCTGGCTCTTAGTTTTGTTGATGAACCTGAATCTGAAAGAGAAGAAGTACCTTCTGCTCTCTTCTTGGTCAAAAGAACTGGTCCTGAAGGTCGAATTGGCTGTGTAGGAGATGGTTTCCCATTTTTCAGCATTTTTTTGGCACTTCCTACTGAATCTGTGATGCACTTCTTTAAAGGTGCTGACTCTTGGGGCTTCTTAACCACATCTTCATCCACACTCTCCAATGGAACCTCCATTTTTTAAAATTAAAAAAATACTATTTATGTCTTCCAAATTCCCAATAACCTCAATAAAGACGGGCCTACTCCTACTGCATTCTCAATGGCACTTTTCTGTGGTGCGAGATGATGACCCAATCAAACCAATGGAAGCATAATTATATAATTGTCTCAATTGCAGTTGTAGTGCCCTAAAGATCCTGCCAGAAAATTAAAAAGAAAAATATAATCATAAAATAAAAGTATTAAAACCTATTAGATTACACAAAACATTGATATTGAAAGCATAGAAATCCCTTACTCATACATTTCAATGATCATTGGTTGTGCATGTCTTTTTAGACCATAATAAGACTATTCTTCCACTTAGATGACAGACATTACCATGAACATACTGATCCTGGTATGAAACAGAAGACCCAAAATCCATAAAACGTTATAATTTTGCTGAAGTTGCAGATGTAGAAAGGAACCATATTTTTGTAATAAGAAATCCACAATGTTCATGCTATTCTAGCTCAAGGGGCTACTATGGAAGCACCTTAAAACGAGGTAAACAATATATCTCGTGAAAAACCAGAGATGTGATCTATAACCACAAATTTTGCCCAACAAAACTGACACAAAAGAATGCAGGCTTCAAAGACCAGATAAAAGTAAGTACCTTAGTGAAGTGTCTAGCAACTAAAAGAGGGCATGGAATCAAACACTCTTGCCGAAATCAGCTTCAAAACTCATATAATTACACGGGAAGAAGCAAAAATACTGACTGCCCAACTCTAGAGATCAAACAAGTAACAGAACCTTTAAAAACCGTGAGACTATTTTGTTACATGAAGAAAAGCCCATTAACGATGAACTGCTGAAATCCAGTCCACAACCCCAGAATTCACCAAAGCAAAAACAAGAACACTACTACAAGAGCAGCATGAAAGCATTTCAAACAAATTTACAATAAAACTTTGGAAACCAGTATAAGACTATATCATGAACAGAGCGGGGAATCCCCAAGATGATTCTAACCTGAGGTCGAAATGTTAAAATTAACCCTGTAATTCACTAAGATCGAGTTAAACACTGATACGCAGTGTTTCTAAAGAAATTGCAGATATCTTCGGCATAATGCAAGCTTTAAAAACCAGAAGCAAAGTATCTCGCAGAGAGAGCACAGTCTCATGAAAGACGCTGATCTGAACTCCAAAGCATAGAACTAACCATAAATGACAAAAAGGACCCTATCTTTACTGCACTTTTCATGATCTTCATATTATCTTCGGGAAAATGCAAGTTTTAAGGCCATGTTTAGGGCATTCGAGACCATTGTTGAAGCAGTGACAACAATGAAAAACACTGAAAAGCACAAGAACCTGAACAAAAATGCAACTCCTTTGAAGCAAAAGCTAACCAGAAACGAGATCTCACCTCCAATGCAGCTCGATCTCATGCACTTTCAACGCCGGAAAATGGCACTATAAGCCTTGAGTTGGCGGGAAAACCTAACCTTGTAGCCGGAAATGCACGAAGAATGGCGTCGTAAAGGGCAGATTCCCGCCGGAATCAGGTTTTCCGGCGGCTTGACAGCGGGAAATCAAGTTTCCGTCGGCAAGCTTAGGATACCTCGAAGGAGAGTGGTCATTGTCTCCCACTCTGACAGAGATGGAAACTAACCTGAGGGATGGGAGGGAGGAAAATGAAGTGTAATATGAATATAAATATTTTAAAAAGAGGGAAAAAAAAAAAAGGATGGAATTTTTATAAGGTTGCATGTAAATAATCCAATTAATCGCACCGCCAAATTTTATCCCAGCATATAATTTTGGTGTAAAAAGTTTTTAGGATTACCGAAAATCTATTTTAATATCTAATGATAAAATTTTAAAACTTGTTAAAATAAAATAGATCTATAAACATATAAAAATATTGACAGGATAATATGTTGTGGGATTCAAATTTTTTTTTTTTCGTATCCATATGTAGAGATGATCAATTAAAGGGTTTTTTAACATTAAAACAACATTTTTTTGATGTATTTTTTAGGTGTATTATTAATTCTGTATTTTTAAGGTTACAAAGTTATATAATTTTTTTCAAAAAACATTCCTTACCTTTTTTAAATATGAAAAATGTTTCATAGGTTACATTTAAATTTAGACAATAAATAGATTATGAGTAGTGTACCATGCTCTACCAGTTTAGCTCTGAACATTTTCCTCTTCAAAAAATCAGCCCCTGGTTTTTCGGACGGATTGTTGATATGTGGCTCTTCTTCCAAACACTTTACACTATAAAACTAAGGTACATATTTAAATTTTATCAAAGAAATGTAGTTCCAATGTTAAAAACTTTATTATTGCTAAAAAAAATTATATTCAACTCTATTTATAAAATTTAGAACTCTTTTAAAAATGCAGATCAACCATTTCTATAAACACTTGAAAATATTAAAAATAAACCATCTATATAATTTTCTTCAATATCCACTATTTTTAAGACGTGAGATTCTTTTTTTTTCTTTACATTCATACAATTGGAAGTTGAGATTTTTTATTATAAAATTTTCCAATTCCGTAATATTTATTTTTAATAAATTTTTGAGATGCACCCAATTTCAATTATAATAAATAAATAAACAAACAAGTTGCAACCTTATATAAACTTTTACTTTTTGAAATTACTAACAAGTGGTTCTTATTTCCGGTAATTCACTCTTTTTCATTGGTCTGGAGAGACAAAGGGGCGATGATGGTGGTCTTGGTATTTTTTAGTGAGAAAAAAATGTAGAAAACGAGTGGTAAAATAACCCTTTCAAATTTGAAATGACGAAGATATCGAGAAATCTAGGGACGAAAATGGCACTTCGATTGCCCTCTAGTGACGTAAATATCCTTCAATTCCAAGGAAGTGATCAACTATTTTGACCGACGGAAACAAGCCGAAGTACTTTATTCTTTTGTCTTTTTTTTCTTTGGAAAAAGTTTACACATGGTTGCAACTTTAGACGTGGTGAAATAAGGTGCACCTCAAAACCCTCCATTGCATAGTATTTCGACGTAGGAGCATGCTCCAACTGATCATTTCGATATTGAGATAAATGGTCATAAAAAAAATGAATTATAAATCTAATAAATAGTTTATCTTGTAACAAATTATCTGGACCGTTTATTTTTAAGATTTTCAAATGTTTCTTGATCTGCTAGATTTATACTATTTTAAAAAGTTTAAAATATATAACTAAAGATAAAAAGAGATTTTGAAGCCATCGTTAGATTTTTGATACCGAAATGGTATCTACAAGTAATTTTATAGGTACGCCTTACTTCTACAGTATAACGAGACAACCTTATATAAACCTTACATTTTGTTCTTTTTATGCATGGAGATCTGTGTCAAAATTCAATGGTAATTTTTTAAGGTCTTATTCACATGGAAGTGGGAAGGTGTCATACTATCATTACTAAAAAAAAACATGCACATTAAAAATAGAGATTGTACATTATGAGACTTTTTATCTTTCTTACAATAAGTTCACAATTACTTGTAGCCCTTGGATATTAATTTGGATTGTTTGGGGTATGTCATGCTGAAACTTAGAATATAGTTAGTAACATGTTTAGAACCATTCGATTTGAAATCTAATAGACAAAAATGATTATGATATCCTTGTATCTTTTCTATGGTACAAGAAAATCACACTTAGCTTTTGATAGTGGATGGTATGTTGTCGACTGCATTGAAGATAAAAAATAATAATGATCCATGAAAAAAGGAGGAAAAATAAGTAAGAAAAAAATTGGCCTCCGGCAAGCCAACCTCGTTCAGGCCCTGACCCTGGCTTTGCGGCGCGGCCCAATCCTCGTGCCATGGTAATCTAGCTCTCGGGTGACATCTTATAGCTCGAGCCCTAATTTATTAGGGCCAGCTTGACCAGGTTAGACCGAGGCACGCGACTCATTGCCAAGCGTAGGCCTAACTGTGGCTCGTCGTTATTAATATGAGACCATCGCTTCATGGTCCTACGAGTCTCCATCACTTATTATTCATATTTGGTTTCTATAAATAAATACTTATTGCTTTAATGGTCAGAGAGCAATTATTGGCGGTAGGATGTGGTAGTGGGTTCTAAATTCCAAGCTCCTTTTACTTACCAAAAAGATTAGCAATATAAAAGTATTTGCTCTGGCCTAAACTTTGGAATCATAAAGCATAACCCGATTCTAATAAGTATCAATTTTAAATTAGAAAAATGCATTACATGATCATGGAACCATGGAGGATGCATTTTCTTATACTCCCATAAAACACATGGCAACCACGTTCCAAGAAACCAAACACTCCATCTATTTTGAGAATGCTTAAAAAGTCACCGGTTAGGTATTGACTGGTCCTAGTTAGATTGGATATGGAGCTCGATGATTTCAAGTGAGACCCCCCCTAAATTCGCCGAGCTCCTGTTTTATTTTTCCTTTATTAAAAATTCCCTAATCTATCATGAAAACCTCGACTTAGATATGGTTCCAATAAGTAATAAGATGCGAAAAAATCAATTTAGGCGGGTTGGCCATGTGCAACGTATACCCAATATAACACTTATTAAGAAGTGCGAATTGAGTCAAGTCAAAATGGTTAAAAAATAAAAAATAAAATAAAACACTACCCATTTGTTCTTATAGTGAATTTGAGCTGCTCGCCCTACAAGCTGGTTGACTCACAAGGATATTTCCCGTTTCGAAGTACCACCTGATATTTATTCAATGGTTTTGATATATACAAAGCATTGATCTTAACTAAAACCCTACAAAATATGCATTTTTTGTGCTAGAAACCCAAACGGTCTAAAATCTATTTTCACCCTTATGAATTTTAAAGTTTAAAAAATAATAATGTAGATCGAGTTGATATACAAACCATTGAAATTTTTTAAAATGAAATACCTGCATTATATGTTACATTTATACATTAATTTTAGGACTTAAATCTTTTTTTCGTATCATGGATCTTGGGGTCAAGATTTTTCAATTAGAGTAAGTGTTTTATATTTTTTAGATGCACCTTACTTGTATGAGATATTACTGTCACCTGGTATAAACTTTTCTCATATTTAATTGGGTGGAATCAATTTATTGCTTTTTGAAAATGTGTCAATGCGCGGGACCAGGGTTTATATGCCACATGTAAAAAGCTTTTGGTGCATGCGTTTTGGATTATAAATTAAATTCTTTTAATTGAAATGGAAATTATTCAACGCATTCTTTCCAACTTTAACAACCTGGTGGACCCTAGCATGTATTAATAACAGACTGTTCTCTTCTAATTTTTAATGCTAGACTACAACATGCCCTTCCCCGGCTCTCTCTCTCTCTCTCTCATTTCAATTTGATATTCTCTCCTTAAATTTTAAATTTCAGCAGTGGGTTACAACATGCCCCCCTCTCTCTACCAATACCTCTCTCTCTCTCCTTGAATTGATATTCTCTCTCCCTAAATTTTAAATTTAAGTAGTGGGCTACAACATGCTCCTCTCTCTCTCTCTACCATGATTTGTAGAGGATCTTATCCACATTTTAGGAATTAATGTATTGAAGAATAATATAATTCATCAATAACGGCCCAAATTGTCGATACTTGCTATATTCGTACTGTACATGGTTACAGGAAATTTATATGTTGAAATTTGTATAAGGCGCCCTCTTTATACTGTAGAAGTAAAGCGTATCTCTAAATTATATTTGTATGTATAGTTCATGTTTCAAAAATCTTATGATGGCTTGGTTATGGAATTTAAATTTTCAAAATGGGTATAGAACCAGTATGTCTAAAAATACTTGAAAATCTTAAAAATAGGCAGTATTCTTTTTAGGATTTGAATTTTTTTTTTCTTTATTTCAATATATCTTGAGGCGAAGATTTTCAAATTGAAGGATTTTCTAACATCTGAACACTCTCTTCTAGATGATCTTCGAGGTGCTCCTTACTTCAATAGTATAAGGTTGACACTTTATATAAACTTTTTCTATATTTTATTAGTACAATTACATTAGTTATTTTGCTAATAAATCTGATGGTAAAGCTCTAGTGATTCTATCTCTTTTTTAGACGATCAATTACCCTCGTGAGTATACGAGGCTAAAGGTTTGTGAGTCAAGAAGATAATTAATGTTTTCACAATATCACTGAAGTATGTGCCATCTCATACTTCTTTATTTTTGTTGGAGGTTGGACCACTTGCATCTTTTAGATGGCTTTATTTGTGCAAGCAACTGTATATAGTTTGAGAAACTTTGCTTGTTTGAGACTAGTCGGCATATAGGACATCATGGAGTACAGTAATACTTAATTTGATGGTGGACTGGGTGGGCCGGCATGGGCTTTTAGGCCAAATCTTAATATGGCCTTTCTCATATGCTGAATTAGGACTCGAGCTTTTCTGATTTTATATAGGAATGGAACATAAGACTTCATATTGTGATACTCCATCACTGTACCACTTTGTGAGTCCACTTCTAACTGTTATAATATAGTATATTACCATATTGTATAAAGTACATAGCAAAAGTGCAAGGGTAAGCTTTCTATGCATCTCCTACAACATAAAACTTATATACTTCCCCTTATCCAACAATCCATTTTGAATGTTTTGCTGAGATGGACCCAATCATAATGTCACGTCT